ATGTGTTTTGTCTAGGTACCTGGTATTCAATACATTATATTGTAAAAATTTGCACCTTCCAGCAATCCTATGCAGCTGGAATTTTATGCATGAGGAAACTGAGGCACAGACAGTGGGAATATCTTGTTCAAGGTCACACAGCTAGAGAAAACAGAGTTGGAATTCCACCTACAGTCTGGCTGTCTCCAGAGCCAGTGTCTTTCCACAATATTGTGCTGTCTTCTGTTTGAAGAGTTCATTCCGCATCAGGGAGGGAATGTGTGTGCATGTATGTGTACTGCTGGTTTCTCCCAGATACTGCGTGAACAGGCTGGAAGTTGGCTGCAAGAAGGGCCCATGCTGTTTCTCAGAGATTAAGTTACATGTCCTATTGTACCCTGATTGATGCCTGTTCCCCGACCCTTCTTGAGAGTACTGCTGAAAGAGAGGCGTGTCTGTCGGCATGAAGAAGGCAGCAGTACCCATCTGGTGGCTGGTCAATGGCAGAGTGTGAGAGTTGCTGCCTCCACATCACAGCAAAATCCTGAAGTAGCCAGTCTCAAACCTGACTCTGCCGTGCCTCAGGACAGCCCCTTCTGGGCCTCTGTTTCCTCATTTGTAAAAATATAGGCGAATTGGGGCCGGTGCTATGGCATAGCGGGTAAAGCCACCACCTGCAGTGCTGGCATCCCATAGGGGCGACGGTTCAAATCCCGGCTGCTCCACTTCTGATCCCGCTCTCTGCTATAGCCTGGGAAAGCAGTAGAAGATGGCCCAAGTACTTGGGCCCCTGCACCCGCATGGGAGACCCAGAGGAAGCTCCTGGCTCCTGACTTCAGACTGGTGCAGCTTCAACTGTTGCGGCCAGTTGGGAAGTGAATCAGCGGACAGAAGGCTCTCTCTCTCTCGCTCTCTCTCTCTCTCTGCCTCTCTTTCTGTCTCTGTGTAACTCTGACTATCAAATAAATGAATCTTTTAAAAAAAAGAAAAGGGTCATTCTGTAGCACTATGGAGAAAAGCAAAACTTAAGAATTGATAAAAATATTATTCAGTAAGGGGCAGTTAAAAAAATTTATGCTTCAACTATATAATAGAATATTATGTGCTCCTAAAAGAATGAGACTATCAACAGATATTGGCATTGAAAAACAATCTATTTTAAATGGCCTTGAAAAATCTTAGCGTTCATGGATCAACAGTGAATTGTCTCACCGACATATCTAAAATCACTTCATATCATCTACATGAGGGTTCATGGAAAAGACAATGCGCAGTTTCCATGAACTTTTTGAAAACTCTTCTGTGTGTGCGTGGGTGTGGCTGTGTATGTGTGTACAAAGGATCTTCCAAAAGTACATAGGAAATGTGTCTTAACAAGTAACTATGTGGGGATTTCAAAATTTTGTGCACCAAAATAAGCTTACCTTTTAATTCCATTTTTCCATGAACTCTGAAGTGTTCTTGTGGTAGTTATGTGTATGTGTGTGCATGGGTGTGTGCATGCTTATGTATACACAAAATGTCAACTAGGATGCAAACCAGTAGTTATTACAGTATATAAAGACTGCCTATCAGTCTTCTCTACTGTGTCTCTCAGTGACTGACACCTACCTCCACAATAACCTCAGTGCAAATCCTGGTCTCACTTTATACCTGTGTGCCTGACTGGCGCATGCAACTTCCTGGTAGGCAGCCCCTTCTGGGCATCAAAATTTTCACTCATCATTTTCCCTTCCAAATCTTCTCTCTCTCTCTCTCTTTTTTTATATTTCCCTATTTCTATTAAAGGGATAGCTCTTCTTTAGGTTCATATAATCAAGCAAGGTAAGTTCATTGTCTTTCTCCATTCTCCCATCCTTAGAACTACATCCAAGCATCTGTCAACAGTGTTGGTTAATTTTATGTGTCAATGTGACTGGGCCATGTCGTGCCCAAAGTTGTGGTCAAACATTATTCTGGGTGGTTCTGGAAAGGTGTTTCTGGATAAGATTAACTTTTGAATAAGTTCACTGAGCATTGCAGACGATCTTCCCTGGTGTACTTGGGCCTCATCTAATCTCCTTAATACCTCACTGGAACAAAAAGACTGAGTAAGAGACCTTGTTTGGCCTGACTGCCTAAACTGAGACTAACTGAAGCTGATCTGTACTGAAACTGTACCTGATCTTCTTGGGCCTTGAGTGTTCTGGCTTTTGGATGGGGACTACGCCACTGTCTCTCCTGGGTCTCCAGCTCTCTGACTGCAGATCTTGGGATGTCTCAGCCTCCATAACCGCATGAACCAGAGTCTTACAATAAATCTTTCTGTCTCTAAGTTTGTACGCATCCTATTGGTTCTGTTTCACTGGAGAACTCTGACTAACACTCCGATCCCACAGATTCTTCTCAGTACCACCTAGCTCCTCCTTTCTGTTTTGACTGCCACCATGGATCTCCTCCTGCTGGCTGCACTACCCACCATCGTGTCCAGTCATCTCCGTGTCTCTCGCATTTCTCTCTTCCCAACTTCCATTCTCGACACTGTAGTCCAGCATGAGCCTGCCTCCGTGTCGTTTTCCAGCCCTTCCTCCCACCACTTCCTAGTGATTAAGGAAACTGTACCATATATCACTTCCCCATGTTTAGTTTTTTTGCTCACTTTGCTTACTTCTTCTAGTTAACTTGCAACCTTCCTCTGCCCCATAATTGCTGTTTCTCTAAAACCCTACCCCTCTTTGATGTGTCATTCAAATCATATCCCCACTGAGGCCTTTCCATAAGGGGCAAGATTCTCTCTCCTTCCTGAAAACCCACAGCTTTTCTCTCGTGTTTTTCAAGCTTTGGCTTCTACTGTACCGATTTGTATAAATCTACTCTTTCCCTGTCCTTGAGGATGGAGGCTGTATCTAACTTATCTTTTCATCCTCCAAGGCATGATATGATGCCTCTACTGTGGGGTTAAAAAATAGTAGCCCTGGGGCTGGTACTGTGTCGTGGCCGTCTGCAGTGCCGCCATCCCATATGGGTGCTGGTTCAAGTCCCAGCTGCTCAACTTCTGATCCAGCTCTCTGCTATGGCCTGGGAAAGCAATGGAAGATGGCTCAAGTCCTTGGACCCATCCTCCCACTTGGGAAAACTGGAAGAGGCTCCTGGCTCCTGGCTTCGGATCAGCGCAGCTCTGGCTGTTATGGCCATTTGGGGAGTGAACTAGCGGATAGATAAAAGACCTCTCTCTCTCTCTGCCTCTCTGTAACTCTGCCTTTCAAATACATAAATAAATATTTTAAAAAAAGCAGTATCCCAAATGAAATGGAATTTGAGATAAGTGTAGCGTGAAAACCTGAAACAACACCTCACATTGATTTTAAAATGATACCTAGTTTATCCATTTGATGCAAACAGCAAAAATTTACTGTTTTATAAACTGTCAGCAGCATATGCAAGTTGCTGTAGGCGGTGTTTCTTAGTACTGCATGTTGGCTTACAGAAGAGGATGGGCAGGAATGAACTCTTATTAAGATACTTATATTTATTGCAAGACTTAAACAACTTTGCAAAATAATACCAATAATGAACATTTATTGAGCACTTACTCATTAATTCTAATGATAACTTATGAACTAAGCACTATTATCAACTGCATTTTGTAAATGCAGAGGAGTCTTGAAATTTATCCAGAAAAGTAGGTAGCATAGCCATGGATGTGAAGATGTCAACCCAGATGCCCCGGCTTCAGATAAAGATTTAAGCTCCAGTGATTTGGGAGGGTGCCAGGTAGGGGGAGGTTTGTACACCTGTGTGCATGTGCATAGGGCTCTTCCTATAGGGCCCAAATATGAGGATTGGAGGGACATGGGCTTGGCAGGTTGGAGAAGAAAAGAAAGCAAAAGAAAACATGAGTAATAAGGAAAGAGAGGCCTTGGAGAAGCGGCAGCTGCCTGAGTCCAAAGTGAGAAACTTAATGGGGCCAGTGCTGTGGCATAGTAGGCTAAGCCTCTGCCATGGGGCAGGCACCAGTCCCTGCTGCTCTGCTTCCCATCCAGCTCTCTGTTAATGGCCTAGGAAAGCAGGAGAAGATGGCCCAAGTGCTTGGGCCCCTGCACCCACGTGGGAGACCCGGAAGAAGCTCTTGGCTCCTGGCTTTGAATCAGCCCAGTTCTGGCCTTTGTGGCCATTTGGAGAGTGAGCCTGTGGATGGAAAACCTCCCTCGGTCTCTCGCTCTCTCTGTCTGTAACTCTGCTGGGAAGAAAGAAGGGAGGGAGGGAGGGAGAAACTGTTAGTAAGGGACTCTCAGGAACGGGCAGAGCCCCCATGTTCGAGGATTTCGGTGGACTATGACAAGCTGTAAGTTCTTTTTCCGTTGTACGTGTTGTGCCTTACTCTCCCAAGGTAATCCCCAGGTTCCGCGAAGGTAGAAGTACCACGAGGAAGTGCCCACACCAGGACGGCCGCAACAAAGGAGTGCCGGGCTGTCCCCACAGGTCTCCTGGGGTCGGAGTGGTGGGGGCTGCTAGTCCAGAATGGCAGAGGGAGCAGCAGCCAAGCAAGGGCCTTGGGTTAGAGTGGAAACTGGACTCTGCTATCCAGCGACAGCGGCCAGGGCGGGGTGGAGGCGAGGGGTTCTCCCGAGCTACTCCGTGCCTTGTTATTGACACACCGACGCCAGGGAAGCCAGAAGGTGGACAAGCCACCCCTCTCCCGCCGCGGGGCCTGACTGCAGAGCACAGATGCCCTCATGCAGGAGCGGATTTATCTGCCAGGGACAGTGGGAGAGGTCTGGGAGTCAAAACATCTAAGGTTGCACGGGTGAAGCCACATTTCATCCTTGGATTTCAGTCTCCCCGGCTGTAAAATGCCAAGAAACACACGGACCTCACGAGGTTCCTGTGAAGGAACCGAGGGGGCGGTGGGGGGCGCGGACACGGGACTGGGGGCCGCAGGGGCTCGGCGGATGCCAACGCCGCTTCCGTAGCCCGGGTCTCTTCCTCCGCCCCCACACCACGGCGGAGGGTCGAAGATCCCCGGGAAGGACGGACCCTACCTTTGGTTAGAGAGTGGATGCCGAGCTTGACCTGGGAGAAGTTGCCGCTGCCAAGTTCGCCGCGAATGCGGTAGAAGCCGATTCGCTTGCCGAGCGTGATCTCCCGCAGCACCTTCTCATCCTGGGACATGTCCTGCGTCAGCTTCTCGAAGGGCGTCAGCTGGCGGGGCTGGCCCTCCTCGGCCTCCTGGCTGCCCTCGGCTTGGCAGCCGCTCTCCCCGCTATCGCGCCGGGCCCCGCCGCCGCCGTCGGGGTTCCCCAGGCCGCCTCCATTCGCCAGCGCGGCCGTCATCGTCCTCCGCAGCCTCACGTCTCCATCTCAGCCGCGGCCACCGAGAAAGGGCAGGTTGGGGAGGAGCCCGGGCGGCGCAGCGGCTTCGATATGCGGATCTGCGACGGCGGGCTGCGCGGGAGCCGTCCAGCGGGCTGGGCAGCCTCGCCGGCTTCAGCGCGAGGGGCGCAGAGGCTGCCCGGCCCAGGCCAGAGCCGCTCGCCTCGCTGCGCACATCTCCCGCCTTTCTCACGGGGCTGTCCGCGCTCTCCCTGCACACTCCGGTCCGCGTCCCGTAACCATAGCTCTTCCCCGACCGGAGGACTCCAGGAACCTCTGAAGGCTGGACGTGGAGACTGATGTTCTGCGCTGAGAAGGGCTGGATCCCGGGGCAAAGGTCCCAGTTTGCGATTTCCTCTCAAGGCCACGGAATGTTGCACGCTGGAGGGTAAAAAGCCCCTGGGAAGCCCCCTAGTCCCTGCTGCTGGCTCTGATCACTGATCTTCATCTCGGGCGTCCCTTACGGTCAAGTCGCAGGGCCCTGGAGACCCGGATAGATGAATCTTGCAGATCAGCCTTCTGGTCACACGCGCAGCCACGGGGAGATTAAGTCCCTGCAATGTCACTTTAGCCGGCCTTTATTTAGATGAGCCTTCCCGCTAAGCTGTGAGCTGTTCTCAAAAATTTAGCAGGTGCTGGTTGGTCCTGAGAACAGAAAGTAAGAAAATTAGTAGCCCCTGTTGATGCACTGAACAGGATTTATGAGCAGTGGGAAACACTGGTCGAAGTGCACGCTACACATTGAAGCAGTGGACGCTTGTCTGCACGCGATTTAGTGAGAAGATGCACACACACTCACCGCTCAATCTCCATCTTAGAAAAGCCTTTACAGTCTGTAAGTATTTCTAACAGAACAATTTTCTTACTTCTTCAACTATAGGAAAATATGCAATATTACACTGGATTGCTTTAAAAGTAGATTTTAAAATGATGTGATAACAATTATGACAAAAGGGATTCTCTATTACTATCAGCCCTCAAATTTTAATACATTGAGTGAAACATTATAGCTCCTTTATTACTTTATGCTCGTTAAATTTTTTTTTTCATTTTATTCAACTAAGAAACAGGAAGATCTCCTTCTGCTTTTTTCACTCCCAAATGTCCACTATAGCCAGGGCTGCACCAGGCTAAAGCCAGGAGCCCCGGACTCCATCCAGGTCTCCCACGTGGGTGGCAGGGACTCGGCTACTCGGGCCATCACCTGCTGCCTCCCAAGGTGTGCATTATCAGGAAGGTGGGATTGGAAATGGACCTGTGACTGAACACTCCCAACTGGAGTCCACCACAGCACCAATGCCCACCTCTACTTTATGTTCTTGTACAGCTTTTTGTAGTCATTTTGTTCTGTCTTTCTATGTCTTTCCATAACAAAGACTAATTTTTCTTCTTTGGCTTTTTTTTTTTTTACATATCTGATCAGATGTCAGCTTTCAGACCCAGCACCTTATTTTGAAGGTCTGTGAATGGAAGAAAACAGTGGTAAGAATGACTGCCCAGCTAGAATTCTTCAGGACTTTTGTTTTCCCCTGAGTTCTCCAGTAAGAAATAATCTCTTTCCCTCTGAATCCCCACAGCACATTGTGCATTTAAACGTCACATTTCCATGAAGGTAGGAACTGGTCTTACTTTTCCTGTATGTTCTGTTCCCCTCTTTCTCTCAGGATGGCGAGAAAAGCCATATTCTACGGATAGAAAGTAGCATTAAATGTGCGTTGGACTTGATTTTTGGACTTGAGCATTCCAAACCAAAAACTTGACTGCAGGCATAAAGGTTGCCTTGGCGATGTAGGTTTCCAACCTTGCTTCATTGATAATATCACATGATTACAGTTCAGTGTCTGGGTGCCTATATTGTTTTGTGGTCAAGTATGAGCTGGCCAAATAAACTCAAATAAGGAGAGTAAAGAGGAGGTTGATGCCCAGTGCTGTTCCTGTTCCTGGGAGAAACATGAGGGGCAGAGGCTTAAAAGGCACCAGGTAGTAGTAATGAAACACATCTGTAGGTCAGAGTCTGATTAGGATGTCTTAAAAAAAAAAAAATTTAAGGTAAGAGATGCTTAACTATGGTGAGGAATATTTAAGTCACTATTTTAATTTTTTTTAAGTTTGAGAGGCAGAGAGAGTGAGAGAAAGAATTCCCATCCACTGGTTCACTCCCCAAATACCCACAATGGCTGGGAATCCAGGTCTCCCGCGTGGGTGGCAGGAACCCTATCACTTGGGCCATCACTGCTGCCTCTCAGGGTCTGCATGAGTAGGAAGCTGGAGTCAGGAGCGGGAGGCTGGGATCAACCCCGCACTCTGATATACGATGGCTGTCTTTCAGAGGACCCTAACCACCCCTACATCACTGAGTCACTGCTTCTCCATTGTCCTGGGGTCACAGACCCCTTTGAGATTCTAACAAAACCTATGACTCTATCTCCAGGAATGAAAAGCACAGCCGCACAGTTTGCCTCTGGCATCAGAGTTCACAGACACTGAAACCCATCCCAGCAGCTCAGGTGAATCTCTGTGAAGGTCAAGCAGCACTAGATCTTCTCAGATTTCTGACAAAGACACCTGACAGCTTATGAGAGACTAGAAAAGGAGGAGCACTAATCTGAAAGGACCTTTAGCTGAATTTCCACAAGAAGAGAATAGGAATTTCAGACAGGATGTGGTACTTGATCACCTCACTTTCTTTTTTCTTTTCTTTTTTGACAGGCAGAGTGGATAGTGAGAGAGAGAGACAGAGAGAAAGGTCTTCCTTTGCCGTTGGTTCACCCTCCAATGGCCACCGCGGCCGGCGCACCGCGCTGATCCGATGGCAGGAGCCAGGTGCTTCTCCTGGTCTCCCATGGGGTGCAGGGCCCAAGCACTTGGGCCATCCTCCACTGCACTCCTGGGCCACAGCAGAGAGCTGGCCTGGAAGAGGGGCAACCGGGACAGAATCCGGTGCCCCGACCGGGACTAGAACCTGGTGTGCCGGCGCCGCAAGGCAGAGGATTAGCCTACTGAGCCGCGGCGCCGGCCGATCACCTCACTTTCTAGCAGCTTCTAGGAAGAACTTCTCGGCTCTTGTCCTCTCAGAGTGCTTCCTCGCGGTGCTGTCCTTGCCACTGGCCTATTGGTACCCTAACTAGATAAGCACCCAGGGAGCAAGAACCTCTCCTCTCCTCTCCCAGAGTTTTACAGTGTCTGGCACTCAGTTGATAAAGCTTGGTTGAGGAAGCAATGAAACTTAGCTGTTTATCCGCTGTTATTTAGGTCTGATATAGCAGAGGGAAATATTTTCATATTTTAAATATATATTTATTTGAAGGGCCGGTGCTATGGTGCAACAGGTTAACATGCAACCTGCAGTGCCAGCATTCGATGTGGGCACTGGTTCAAGTCCTGGCCTTTCATTAAATAAATAAATCTTTAAAAACATGTCATAACTCTCTGCCCAAAGGTATCATAAATAACAACAAACAAATCACATGTCAAACTGGTAGGGAAAACTTCTCAACACATATAATAGATAATGGATGAATTTATAAAGAAATAAGTAATTTTTACAAATTGCTAAGAAATATACCAATATCCCAAAAGAAAAATGATTTTAAAAATGTGAAGTGGGCCAGTGCTGTGGCTTAGCCGGTCAAGCTGCCTCCTGTAGTGTCAGCATCCCATATGGGCACCAGTTTGAGACCTGGCTGCTCCACTTCTGATCCAGCTCTCTGTTATGGCCTGGAAAAGCAACCGAAGACAGCCCAAGTCCTTGGGCCCCTGCATCCACGTGGGATACAGAAAGAAGCTCGTGTCTCCTGGCTTCAGATTGGCACAGCTCCGGCTGTTGCAGCCATCTGGGGAGTGAACCAGCAGATGGAAGACCTCCCCGCCCCCCCGCCCCCTTGCGTCTGCCTCTCTGTAACTCTGCCTTTCAAATAAATAAATAAATCTTAAAAAAAAAAAAGAGTGGATAGACATTTCACAGAAAACTACAAATGGTTCTAAATACATAAAAAGATGACCAACCTCAAACAAATGTGCATTAAAACTACAATGAGATTGGAATTTTCACACATTAAATTTGGATCTACAAAAAACTGTGATAATGCACTAGTGAGAAAAAAATGTAGGGAACCAGGAACTCTGGTTTCACTGTCACTGAAACTGTAACCTGGCACAGCTGCTCGCAGGGCAATTTGGCTGTAGCTATTAAATTACAAGTTACCTGTCTTTTCTCTCACCAGTTAATTCCACTTCTAGAATTTATCTTACGTACACATGCACAAAGATGCCTTTTGGTTTGTTTGTTTGTTTCTTTCTTTCTTTCTTTGTTTTGAGGAGCAGAGAGACAGACAGACAGAGCTCTCATCTGCTGTATTACTCCTCACACTATCCTATCAGCTAGGGCCAGACCAGGTCAGAGACAGCAGACAGGAACTCAGTCCAGGTCTTCCATGTGAGTGGCAGGGAACCAATTACTTGAGCCATCACTTGCTCCTTTCCAGGGTCTGCATTGGCAGGAGGCTGGAACTGGTAGCTGTTGTTATAACTTCAACCCAGATACTCTGATAGGGGACACAGGCATCTTAACTACTAGGCCAAACAGCCACATCCAGATGCCTGTATTTTGACATAAAAAGTCACTAATGCATTATTTTGCATAGAAAAACTAGAAACTTCAATTTTCCATCAGTAGGGAACCAGTTAAATATTTATTTAACCATGCTATTAAATATTAATACATATTTATTTGGCCATTGTATATTTATATAATATACATATTATTATGCACTCATGAAAAAAGAATGAGCTACAATATCCAAGATAGACTGTTAAGAGGTCAGAAGAGTGTAATGTGATACTCAGAGGTCTAAGAAAGAGGAGGATGTAACTAAGAAACTGGCAAGTTTATTTCACATGGGAAAAGTAATTGTTGAACTGGGGATTGCAGCAATAGAAAGGTGTATTTTGTACTGCTTATGATTTCATTATATTACACATGCATGTATTTACCTTCAACAAAGAAAATAATTATATATGTAATGTGTTACCACCTTACATAGTTGGTGTACACTAAATTTGCTTCACTTTTTGTTATACAAGGGAATCACAATATCTGATTAATATTTAATGGATTACTTTTAGGTTTGATTTTCTTATTTGAAAGGCAAAGCAGCAGCAGCAGCTGAGAGAGAAGAGAGAGAGCTTCTATCCACTGGTTCACTCCCCAGTTGCCGCCAACAGTCATGGCTGGGTCACACCAAGGCCAGGAGCCCAGACTCCATCTGGATCTGCCTTGTGCGTGGCAGGAACCCAAGTACTTGGGTCCTCCATTGCAGATAGCTGGACTGGAAGCAGAGCAGCCACGACTTGAACCGTCACTCAGATATGGGATATGCTCAGCTTAACCAAGGCATCACAATGCTCACCCTGATGGGTTACTTTCAAAAAATCAGATGATAATCAGGGGCTTCTGGTTCAATGCAGAGAAGATAACACTTTAATTCATCTCTATTTCCTTCCGCAAACCTTCAAAATGATAGAATAAGGGGAGAAAAGGGATAAACCCAAAGGATAAAGAGGCTGAGAGAGAAGATAGAAGGAGGTGAGTAACTTGACAATGACAGTGAAGAAAACTGTAACCTAAATTTGGTCTAATGAGTGTG